TCAGACGTAAAGAGAAAAAATCCTTTCCGAATTGAACACTTTTTTGTGCGTTATAAATTAGCGTTGTAGAGAAAATTAAATTGATGAAATGAATTATTTTGTTGATTATGAATTTATTGCATTAAAATATTATCAGTGAAATATTTCGTCTTGCAAAAGTATTTTCTAACTTTGGATTGCTTTATCAAATAAACAAGCAAGCCAAGTAATTAACATATATCCCATATATCAATACAACAGATGTCCTGTTGACAAGTTAGCAGTCATTAATTTTTGATTTTACTAACAAATACAAATACTTACTTATTTACTTGTAATTTTGCAGCGATTATTAGAGCTTAATCACCACAACATGCACTAACTTTTTTTTTTTTTTGAAATTTTATTATCTATGAAATTATCTATGAATATTGTTCTATGCATTTATTCTAATGTTGATTCATTTCAATGATTTTTTTGTAATTATTCAATATATTAACAATCAGTAATCAGCCGAAATGATTTAATGGAATTCAATCTTCGAATTTTTCACAACTTATTTTTTTGTTAGAAGCTAGAATTTTTCTGCAAAAAAAATTGGAGAAATTCTTATTGCTTTTTGAGATTCAAAAAAATTCACTATCCTTTCTTAAATTCGGAATATACGAAATTCTAGAAATTGTTGATTAAAGTTTTTTTTTCTTTGATACACATAATTAAAAGTGAGTATGATGGCGACCGCCAACGAACAATGGTAAATTTATTCTAAATTGTTGGAGAATAATTAGTTTTGTTTCATTTCAAAATAATAATTAACTTTCAAATAATTATTTGAATCATCTTTAAAAAAGAAAATTAACTTTCTTTGACTTATCACGTAAATGATGAGTGATATATTGTCGGTAGAGCTATTATAAATTTAAAAATACCTTTAGGACTTATTATTTCAAATAATTCAAATGCATAATATTATTTATTGCTCGACGAAATTAGACGGACTGAATAAATTATAGTGAGTTTTGCACAATAAAATTTTAAGTTTAGATGGAAAAGTATGCATAAGTGTGGTCCGATTATAAAGTGTATCATCTAAAGACTAAACAAATTATATCAAACGATTGTCAACCAATTTTGGTGACAATGGTCATCGGTCATTGGTCAACATTCAGTGGATTTCAATATGTTTTCACTGAAAAAAGTTTCATAGCATTTATTACGCTTATCGAACAAATGCATAAATATTTTTAGTAAATTTATGTAATACTTATGTGTCAGTCGTTATGAGCTTTATTTTTTAATTTTCAAAATGAATTGGGATTCAATTATACTTCATGCATTTTATCTTCCGGTTTAAACTTATTTCTTATTTCCTTAAGCATAAAGTTTATTTGAAATATTTTAAATATTAGCAAGAGATCGCAAATAAGTAAATGAAGTAAAGCTTTTCGTTAACTTTGGGAAAAAACTTCGCAACAAATCATTTTAACAAATAACTAAAAGAAGGAGAAAAAATCCTTTGCTAACTATTTTTTTGATATTAAAAAATGATTTATAAAGTTTTGCGAATTTACTTTTATGAAAGGTTGTATGGATGTGCTATCAGTAATGTCCATTTTATATCAATTTGATAAAATATTGCATAAAAGTGAAAGAAATAATAAAACAGGAATTAAAGAGATAACTGCTAAATTTAAATTTTGTAGTTATTTAAGAATTTTTTATTTTTAGTTGTTAAAGTTTTTTTTTTTTTTTTTTTTGATTATTTTTTATTACTATTACAATATATGAATAGGAAGAAACAAACATCGATTAAGTTGCAACGGCAGGTTGTCATTAAAAGCTTTAATTGTAATCCTTTGGAATTAATTAAGCATCATAAGTAAACATTATGCTAATTTTACTTTACAAATGGTCATTCACGTTTTATTATTACTTAAATTTTATTACATAATAATTAAGTTAAGTGAAATGTAGTAGATTGTTACCTTTCACTTATGCAATTAGTCGAGAAATTACTTTTTCATGTCTAGTAAATGACGCTAAAAAAAAGGGAAAATAAAGTAGACTGATAATTATTGATTACGCTTATCAAGTTTATCCCTCACTGAAGAAAGAAAAAACACTAATCATTAGATTTCGATGTTTGCAACACAAAGAAACAGTGATTAACTTATCCGTAATACTCCTCTTATCATTCACTGATCTATTTTTTCATTTATTTTTTAATTATCTGTTCATAACGATTACTTTTGTTACTTTTATATGATTAAAGTCAATTTTTTTTTTCAGCAATACTTGTCAAATATACAAAATAAAGCAAATTTCGACAGTAAACTAAGTTTTATTTCAGATTAACCAACAACCAATAAAAACAAACAATTCGTCAATTGTAAATTAAAATTGAGAGATGATAATTGTGACAACTGAGAATTGCTAAAAATTATTGAAAGATAATAAAAAGTAAATAAACGTTTTTTTTTTTTATTTTTCTTGAAGGAAAACAACAATGAACTTTTTCAAAGAGTTAATCATGTGGTTGTATGCTTTTGCAAAATATAATAAACAAAAACGCATGAATATCTTCATTTCCTATGAATATTTTTCGTTCCAAAAAATTCGATTAACCTAACTGATAATAATTTATTTTTCTGAAATTTAAAATTATCACTCGCACTAAAATAACTTCCTTTGCTTCATATTTTCTCGAAAAATATTTTCATTCTTTTTCCAAATAAATCTTTGGCAAACTCTTTTTTTTTCTTCTACTAAGCTAAATTTTTCTTTTTTCGTTATTTATTCGTTAAGTTAATTTTTCCATTTTTTTGTTTTGTTTCTGTTTCTTATAGGTTTGCGATAGTATCAGTTATCAGTTAAATTGTTGCAATTACTTAAAAAGTAATGCAAGTACAATTTTACATTCGTAACCAATTTGCAATATGACTTTATTAGGTATGCTTGTAATTGCATCAGTGATAAAATCGTTTGTACTGGAATTGTATTCCGGAAATGATTAAATTAACTCTTTCTCAAATGATAACTTAAATAACATTTATGCATGCTTCTATTGATTGATAATTTATCTCTTGATCACTATTGTATTCACTATGTTTACCAAAACAATAAACTTCATCCCATGATTTGCAATAACAGTCAAGCATTGTTATTTTCACTGAAACTTTAGCTAATATAAGCTTAAGCTGGATAGCTCTGTTAGTTTATTATGCTAATGTGCCACTTTTTATTTCATCCTTTGAGCAACAATATTTTAGTAGTAATCAAAGTTTTCATATTTGTTGTCCTGGTGCTAAAATGGAAGATGTGGAGAACATGCGTCCTCAGAATACTCCCTTAGGAATCTCATATGAATCTATCCTAGTCCAATCGGCGTAACTTTTTTGATGGATTATTGCGCCATGTTTTCGCTACTACTGCTACTATCATTCTTTCTATCACTCACTTCAATCAGATTAATAAGGAAACGAAAAAAGAAGAAATCTCTTTGATGTAATAAGCGGTACTTTATTATCGATTAGAGTAACACTTATTTATAAATATTTATTGTCCAACTATTTCTAACTTTTCCTTATAATTATAACTCTAATTAAAGTAATAAAAAAAATTTTAAAAAACAGAAAAGTTAGACAATTTTTCTAAATGTTTTTTAATTTAATTTAATTCTCATTCCATTTCATTTCATATAACTACAATAGTAGAAATTGATCGAATCAAATGAATTAATTTTGATATGAAATGATTTTAATAAAGCATTACTTATCAGTATAATACTATCAAGATGAGTGGGCTGATGGCTAGACGAATGATTATTTATTAAATTTCATCTCGAAAAGCTTCCTCTTTCTGCTAGTCTTCTAAATCTACCCCTCCCCCCCCCCACCCCCCAATAAGCTTAGTTTCATTCACAACTCAGTTAACAGTCTACTTAGAGTGTTTATTTAATTTCTTTTTCTTCTTTGAAATGAATTATTCAATAGATTATTGATTTTTGAACATTAGAATTAGTATAATATCAATTATTTGTTGAGATAAAATTTAAACATTATCACATACGTGTAAGCGTCACCACGATATTATGTTGTAATAAAGGATTTTACTACATAAGCACGAGATATCTCAGACAAAATCACACTTGTTCAAATTTTTATTCTAAATTAAAATTCTTCAAAATGATAATCGCAATTGAAGTGGATAAAGAATTTTTGAATCAATTATTCATCCCTATTATTTATTTTTATCATTTCTTTCATCATTATCACATGTATGATATGGATGGGTACGGAAGAGTTGCTTGTTATCATTATTATCAACAACTCTATAATAAATCACTTCTTGGCGATTTTACCTTTGAAGTGTAAACTTTTTGAAATTAGTGAAAGCAGAGGGAATAGCAGTTAAATGATTGCAATTTGCAAGCCGGCAATTCTTTCAGCTTTTTTCACTTCCACAAAATCATACACATTTTTTCTATTCGCTAACTTGCATTTACTTACACTACATTTTAAGTCTTTTTAAATAATTATTCTACAAATAATGCAATATTTTTATAGTTTCTTTTAATTTCAAAGTAATATTTTATTCATCTCTTTATGGATTTCTTTGCTAATCTGCTCTCTTTCAAACCCATTATTATTATTATTGATAATAATAATACTGAATTTTTATTTTAACCTACTTTACATTCCTGTTTTTAACAAATTATGAAATTTTAATTTTCTATCGAAATTGTAAAAAATGTTGAAGAAATGCCAATATCTAATCAATAAGTAAACTAAGCAAGATTAATTCATAGCTTTCTTGATAATCCTTCTACTTTTAACATATATGAGTAACTTTTATCCGTTTTTTCCTTTAATTAGAAAATATGCTTCATTTGAAGTTTACTTATTGTTTACTTTCAGGATATATATTTTATTTCCACTGACACATCATTGCTATTCTTTTAAAATTCGAAAAAGAAATTATCCCAACTTTTCGAAGCGTTAAAGATTATACTTTATTGCAGGATGAGGAATCGCCGTTTCAATGAAACATTCATACGACGGGCTATAATCTGTTCATTAGCGATATTTTTTATATCTGCCATACAGATGGTTCGTTTAAATTCAGAAGAACAACAACAACTGCAAAAACAACTAATATCATTTCAACAACAACAAACTATAAATTTTCAACGACGAAAATTATTGGGTATTTTACCGGAATGTAAAATGTAGGAGTTTGATTTTATTTTCGTTTTTTTTTTTTTTGCTTTTTGTTTTTATTTTCAAATGATTTTAATTGAAAGAAAAGAAATTTATAGTAAGTATTAAATACTTTTATTAGTTAATCTATCTTTTTAACCTATCCTGTTCATTTTCTTCGTTGAAGTATTTGACCTTTAATACAACTAATGATATATCAGTATAGTAATGAAACGAAGAGAATCGTAACAGATTCAAACGATGCAGGTCAATTCCCACCAGATCAATTTACTCTCGAACAACGACGTCATGGAGCAAGTAACTGATTTATTGAATTAAAATTTTTATATGTTCAGCTTTGCAAAATTTGAAGTTTTTAATTGATAAAATTTAATTTGTCTAGTGAAATTATTGTGATAATTAAGTTTTACCTCACAAAATTAATTTCAACAATTGTTACTTATAGTAATCCTGCACGTCATTGGTTTGATTTACATGTTCATTGCGCTAGCCATTGTTTGTGATGAATTCTTTGTGCCATCACTAGGTGTTATCACTGATAAGTTGGCAATCAGTGATGATGTCGCAGGTAAAGATTGATCATATTTGGTAAGCAGTACGTTAGGTAACCTTGCTTGAAACAGCTTATGAATAGCATAGTGATCGCGAGTTAGCGGACATCTGAAAGAGGGATATGAAAATCAAAAGTGAAAACATCAAATCAGGGCGAAGAAGGCAACACTATACTTTCAGATGATAGTGTAATTAATTAATAAAAAATTTTAATCCATTATCACCTTTGATCCTGCTTAATTGAAATATCTTTTTTTCCTTCCTTTTCTCTTCTTAACTTAAGAAGAAGTCTAATCTTTATTGAGTAAAAAAGAAAGCAATTAACATAGCAATTAATCATTTGCACTGTCGGTATTATTTATAAAAATGTGAAACAGATTCTATTTGATAAGAAAAAAGCTGAAATATTATTTCGTTTTCTTCATTTTTATTCTTTCACTTTATTTTCTATACTTTTATCCAAATAATTAGGTGCGACATTTATGGCTGCCGGAGGTTCAGCACCGGAATTTTTTACATCTGTAATCGGTGTTTTCATTGCCCAGAATAATGTTGGCATTGGTACCATTGTTGGTAAGTTTTATGTTTAATTCAAACTACTTGATGCATGACGATGATGATGATGGTGATGATAATGGTGATGATGATGGTGTCATGTGATAATAATAGTGATGATTGGTAATGATAATAAGATGGTAATAATAATGGTTATTATTGATGATACTAACAACGCTGACGATAATGATGCTAACAATGTTGATATCGATAGTAATAGTAATAGTGATAATAATAACGGTGTTCATGATGATAGCGTTTTAATGATAATAGTGATGATGATGCACATTTTGTTATCAAATGTTTATTTTAGCATTTTGAATTCCCCAGATGACTATAATCAGATTTATCTTAATAATAAAGTTATGCTTGAATTATGCTTATCAATATTTCAGGTAGTGCCACTTTCAACATACTCTGTGTCCTCTCTTGCTGTGCAATATTCTCTCATAGTGTTTTGCATTTAACGTGGTGGCCTTTGTTCAGGTATATATACATTATCAAATCATAAGTTGCTTTAGTATTCAAAATCTGAAAGACTAAATTCCTGTCTCATTCGAACCAGTTTTTACTTCCTAACTTTACAAGAAAATTTTAACAACATTGATTTAGTAATTTCAAAAAAATACTATATATTGGTGAAATTTTATGATAGTCTTATGATATGATATCACAAAACTTTTGTTGCATGATACGACAATAGTATAAACATCAAGATTTTAACTTCTTCGAATCATCTCGTTAATTATCGATGCTACTTTTTTTTATTTTTGCAGAGATGTAGCATTTTATGTGGTTGCATTATTCATGTTGGTTATTTTCTTCCTAGATGAACAGGTTAAGCAAATTTATTTTTAAAAAAAAGATTAAATTTAAAAGAGTTTAACAGAAATAATGAATTAGTCAATGTTATATTAAGTAATTATTATTGTGAAATTTTTTTTTGTGAACAAATTGTTGTAGAAGAAAATTTTTCAATTTATATATTTTTTAATTAATTTAGATTTTTTGGTTCGAAGCATTTGGTTTATTTTTCATTTATTTATTGTATTGTACATTTATGAAATATAATGAAACTGTCGAAAATTTCGTTAAATATTGCTGTTCGGGTAAAAAATCAGGAAAAGAGGAAGAAGAAGATAACAAAGTGCGAGGAACAGAAGAGGTAAACAAAATAACATTTTTGCATCAATAATTACTTATGATTTTTTTTTTTTTTGTAAAAAAGGGTGAAAAAAAAGTTAATAAAAAAATTTAAGTTTAAAAATTACAAGTATTAGTCTCTTATATTTATTTTAAACTAAAAAAAAAATTAACTCTAATGCATTCCTAACATAACTTACTTTCCACTAATTGAAGTCTAAAAATCAATTGTCATATTTTCCTCACAACGCTCTATTTTAAAAGCAATAAATGAATTTCACTGTGTGAATATGCGTGTGCTTCAACAAATTTATTTAAGAGAAGAAAAATTCTCCGATTTCTTTGATAAAATGAAAAAATGATTTTACTTCGCATGTCATTCACATATTTTTGAATAGAAGAAAAAAATATAAGAAAAAAAATATAATTATTTTTAAAGCTTTGAAAAAATTTATGCAAATTTTTTCGGACAACATTTTATCAAAGTGAAATATTCGGTATTTAAGGTCACACAAAAAGTTTTGAATAAAATTTGAAAATTAGATATTTGATAACGAAACTTTAAAGGTAATAATGTCAATGGCATTAATTATTAATTATAATTATTTGGCTGATTATTTTAACTAATTAAAAATGTTTCATATCAAATGCTTTATTAGACTAAATTTCAGAAAGAGAATACAGTAAGATACATCGATGGTAATACGATCGTATCGCGAACACAGTCAGTGCAACACGGTCGAGCAGCACCGGACGATCAGCAACAACGCAGTTCGGTTTATGGGAGATCTAACAGATCAAACTCATGCATTCGAGCATACGACAATACTTCACGACGTCAGTCTTTCCCAATTTTGCATAGTGGCGCAATTTTCCGGAACGGTATTATCCAGCTTTTATCCCAAGGACTTGATCCATTACAAGAAGGCATTAATGAAGGCATGTTTAAGCTATGGCTATTACTTTTCATTAATTAATTTACCATTTTTTATTGCAGAAAATTGTCCGTTTAAAATTTCAAACTCAAATAATTTAATTCAAATAATTTGTTCAAATAAATTGCTTCAAAGAAATGGTCCTAGTTACTAGCAACCAAATTAGCATTTTATGTGGTTGTTTATGAGGCTGAAAAAATGACAATTATTGATCATAACAAATTTGTTTGACAAACTGGAATTTTAAAAAAAATTTAAAGAATCTAAATTTGAAATGTTTAAAATAAACTGTCATATTATGTAGTTTCTTTTTTGCCAGTTATACACAAATTAATGTTTGTTTACTGACTTTTATCATCAATGAATTATTTCAATTAAAATTTATTTGTTCCTTGTTTTGAAGTATTGTGATTATTTAGTTAATTGCAGTTGCAGTTACTTAAAATCGATAATAGCTGAAACCTTTCAGTACACAAACTATCATATTGTTTTGCTAAGAGCATTTGAATGATATTTGCAGAGTGATCGAAATGATTGACTAAATAGTTTTTTCTTAAATTTTATTTTATACACAAAGAACAAATGCGTTTTTCATTATGATGCAAGTTTTGTAATCAATCATCATATGAATTTTGAAATTCGACACAACTTTTATGTTTTCTTTTTAATTCGTTCCATCACACACAAACACACACATACACACATACACACACACACACAAACAAACACACATAGTCATATACACAGGACATACACACATACACACACACACACCACACACACATACACACACACACACACACACACACACACACACACACACACACACATACACACACACACACACAAGCATACATATGAAAGTTAATATTAATTTTTCTCACAACTAAATCGAAATAAACTTTTGAAGAAAGTAAAAAAGAAAAAGGATTGAGTGAGATGGGACATTTTAAATTTGTCGTACATACGTAAGCACTTTAATGAGTCCAATTTAAATTTAACAGCATTTTTTGCAATTCATAACATTATTGAAATTCGCCTATGGATAAAAGTTTTAGTAGGAAAACTCTTTTCCTAATTTCATAAACCTCATTTTCAAAAAAAAAAAAACCTATGCAGTAATTTACTACTCAAAAATTTGTTCAACCATTTTTTTCGATGTTTTTTTTTTTCACCTTATTGCGTTTTTATCAAAAATTTTCACAATTTATATCAAATATTTTGAAAATAATCTCTTTTAAAATGAAAAAAGGTAAATATCAAAAGTATGCAAAATCATTTTTATAAAATTTATAATGTTTAAATATTATTTCTGTTAGTTATTTTATATCAAAATTATCTTTCGAGGATAATATTATTACTGCGATCTGAAATTTCAATGCAATTTCAAAAAAGCTTTCAGTAAAAAGTAATAGCCGTTTTTGCACTTATGTTTCAACAATGATAAATTTTTCTTTCAGGTCCCAATGTACAGAATGAAAATAATGGTACAATGCCGGCGCAAATTACGCTTGATGAAATTGTTCGTGGCTGGAAATACCATCCAAATAATCAAAAGGTAATATATATTTTCAAAAGAAATTAACAAAGCGTTAAAAAAGAATCAGAGAATCTTAATTAAATTAAACTTACTCCAAGTATATGTATAATGTCTAAGTTGGTTTGTTATCATACCAAAAGCACTAAGAGAGTTAATGATAACACTTGAATTTTCTAAATTATTACTGCACTTCTATTCTATGATATAATATTCTAACTCAGTTGTATTTGTATTTCAATTAAATAAATTTTTTGAAAAATTGAAGACGTCTTATACAAATTAATTTAATTTTTTATTACTATAAAATGAAATGAATTAGTTTTGATATTAGGCTAACGCAGTATGTGAAATGGAACGTAGAGATTCAGAAATGGGTCCACGAAGTACTTTGACAAGTAAACGTACCTCAATATGTCCCAATACAGCTTGCGTTTCAGAAATAGTAATTTTGTTTTTTATCATACATTTTAATCTATTTTTCTTACTTTTTGTTGTCTTGAAACACTTAATAAACTTTTTAATTGAAAACTTAAAGTCTTAACATCTTATAAGTTCTGAAAAGTAGTAACTAAAAAAAAGCAACTTTAAAAAATTACAAAAAAATAAAACAAAAAAAATTGTGTTCAAAACTAATTATAAGATCTTAATTAGTAGCAATTCTAATCTCTCAAAACATAAAAGTAATAGTTAAAAATTATCAGTGAAAAGATTCAGACTTTGATTATAGAAAGAAATGCTTGAAGAAGATGAAGAGAAGCCATTGGACATGTCATGGCCTGAAAAATTACATCGCCAGCTTCTTTATCTGTTCTTGTCACCAATTTTATTCCCATTATGGGTGACACTTCCTGATGTCAGGAAGCAGGTGAGAATGCTTGTGTATGATTATTTCTTATAAAAATTATTCATTGAAAAAAGAATTTAATCAAAAAAAAGTGTTTTATATGAAACTTGTTGATTCGATCCAAATTGAATTTGTTGAGAACTTAGGTTTAAGTTTTCCATCAAATTTTAAACTTTCTTCCTTTCTTTTTTTTTCATTCAAGCATCATCTTTTAATCCATAGAGAATTGCGAGACTTAAAAAATTATATTTGAAATTGTCATTTTCAATTCTAAATAATATCTGAAATAGGATGCTCGCAAATGGTTCCCATTTACATTTATTGGTTCCATTTTTTGGATTGCATTTTATTCATACATAATGGTTTGGATGGCTAATACTATTGGCGAAACGATTGCTATGCCTACAGAAGTAAAAATAAAGTCTACTCACCCACAATAATTAATTAATAACAAGCAAGTGTGACAGTCATCTGTCACCACGTAAGATCATCAGGAGATGATGATAATTATGTTATCATCATTCCTATCAGTTAAGTGACTATAAACACAATGCATCTTTCAGTATTCTAAAATACATAATACTTTCTCAAAAAAAAAGAAAAATAAGAGAATTTTTGGACAAATTAAGTGAAAAAAGAAACAAATGATTTGCTTGTTTCAGTGACAATTTCAGTGTGTCTTTTGATTTGAATAAACATTGAAATAAATAAATTTGAAATATAATGAATTAAATTTATTTGTATTACACGACATACAAATATGAGAATAGAAAATTTGTATAATGTAATATTTAAACAAATTGTATTATAAATTTAGGTAATCGGATTAACAATATTGGCTGCAGGAACAAGCATACCTGATTTAATCACCAGGTATGTTTAATTTGATTGTTCTTTTCGTGTCATAACAAACAAGTAGAATTTGATTGTGAGATTTGATAGATCTATTTTTGAATAATGTAATACAGCATGCATGTAGTATGAATGCAAGAGCAATGGATTGCAGAAGATGATGTTATCGCAGAATCTTAATGTTGATAAAGCAAGATTTTTGCATTCATTTCTTAAATTATTTATGAAATTTCCCTTTAGAATAATCTCCACACCAAAAATATCTTACTGACTTTCCTACTAAGACATATAAAAATCAATCAAATGTTTATTCGGAAATTGATAAAAATTGCTATATATATATATATGTATATGTTTTAAATGAGCTTCAAAAGTCAATTAATTGTTTAAGTGTTATTGTGGCAAGGAAAGGACTTGGTGATATGGCTGTGTCCAGTTCCGTCGGTAGCAATATTTTTGACGTATGCGTTGGGTAAGTTAATCAGCACCTTAAAATTTCAAAACTTTGGATAAGAATTAAAATTAAATCTCAAAATTTCGAATAATTATGTGCACAATACAATATTGGTATTCATAAATGTTACCTAATCTATTGCTTTACATATTAGGTATTTTTTTTGCAGGCTACCAATTCCTTGGTTATTATTTTTCGTCGTTGAACCTCTTCGTAATCCTGGTAGCGCTCAGAATTATATTTCAGTTTCCAGGTAAAACTTTAGATTTTTTAAAAGATTTGTTCGTTTTAATCCAAAGCATCGCTGTAAGAAAAGAATGTGACAAGAATTTTCATTAAAATATTTCTACAACATTTTTACATACAATTTCTCTCAATTCTGAACGAACGTTTGAAAAATAAAAAAATGTTAACCTTTACCTTTGCAGCAACGGTTTGATATGTAGCGTCGGTATGCTATTCATTATGCTTGTCGTACTTGTCGCATCTATCGCATTGTCACATTGGAAAATGAATAAATTATTCGGTTTTATTATGATTATATCATATATTGCATTTTGTATTTTTGCAGTTGCTCTTGAGATGGGTCATTTTGCATGTCCACTCAAAATATGCTAATTACCTTTTAATATATATCATAAAAAGTAATAATTATACAGTTTACGTATGCAAAAACACTGATAGAAAATGAATGAAATTCACTAATTTCAAATAGCACTTAAGAGTTTTACATGAATGTCCCATAAAAAGATGACGGAATTATCCATCAGTTATTTCATATAACGTTTGTTTGTTAATTAAAAAAGTATTGGTCTCTTGTAATTTTGTACATAAATTCAAATTATCATATATTGTTACTCTTCGCAATATATTAATGTATTATATAGTTGTAGCAATACAATTTAAATGAATAGTAAATGAACAAATGTAAATTTTCACTTGTAGTTTGTTTGCTTTCAGTTGTGTATAAGACTTTTAATTAATTTAATTTTAAAATTAATTTCAATTAGAATTGATACTAATTAGGATAAATTTTAATAGATAAATGAAATAAACGTTAACAAGATGATTAAAATAAGTGTTTGAAAAATCTAAAAGGACGCATGCAAAAAAAAACTTTGTTTATTGAAATTGTTGAAAAACTGACACCTTATGTGATAAAAATTTTCTGATATAAATAGTTCCTGGTCTTAAAAATCATCGATTTACTGATTGATTGCATCTAATAAACAATTTATTACCAAATTATTCATATAGTGAATTAGTGGACCGATGAAAAATTCAACAATTTTCCCAACTTTAATTACATAGCTTTATTTTAAAATATTAAATTGGTCTATTAATACCAGAGATGATTATTTTTTGCATTTGGTTTTTCCTCGGGAGTGAATTCTTCAACCTGATATCGTAATCAAGTTAATTTAATCAATCAGTAGTTTAAGTTTGATACGAGAACAACAAGTAAAGTTTTGTTGTTTTATTCCGCCAAATTTGTCATTACTTTTGCATAAAACAATCTATTCAAAAGAAATTTTTTAAAACAAAAGAAAAAAATGAAAAAGAAAACAAACAAACAAAAGTTTATTTAAAAACAAATAAAGTTTATTGAAAGAAATAAGCGATTCTATATGGATATTACAGTTAGTATAAAAACGTTAAATACTACTACGACTTTCATTTTAAGTAATGGATTAAAATTCCATGTAGTTTACTGAATTTATTCCAGAAAATATTGAAAAATTAAAAGTTATGAGGTTATAGAAAGGATTTTTCGCATTACTTCTAGCATTTTTCAAATGAATATAATTAACATCGATCGATCTCATTATTTATCTCAAGTTGGAAAACAATCAATGAATAAATTTAGTGCTACTTCAAAGGATTGTCGAGATGCACTAACACATTTTCTAAATATCGTTGTTCACATTTATAATCTTCCAATGAAAAAAAGGCAATTACATAATAAATCCCAGATTTGGAAAAATATAAAATATAAATTTACAGTCAAAAATGTATTTTTTAAACAAAAAAACTATTAAATAAAAAATTTAATTTTAGAATTAATATAATTTGCAATTCTTCAAATTTTTTGCGAAATAAACTTCAAAAATTCCCAAATATTCAAATATTTTACATGACAATAAAAAAGTCAATCAAATATTTCAAAATGGAAATAATCAATTTGAGAAAGACAACATGGGTTGTTCTGATGGTATAGAAAAAAGAAGTAAAGAAGACAAAAATAAAGTTTTGAAAAACATTGAAAAAAAGCTTGACGAGCTGAATGAATATCATAGTTCGAGAATGTGACTATAATCTGATTGTTAAAATTACATATTTAAATGCAAAATTTGAATATATCAATATTGAAGTACCAATTACTCATGCAATAGGCAATTATCGGGTTACATCTTACTATTTGGGTAAATTTAAAATTCTCAGGAAAGAGTGAGTTTGGAAATAAAATTTTACTTCACAGCTCGTCATTTTCTCCTAAAATAATTATACAGAAAAGTAAGAATGATTGAATTGTTGAGGGCTAATTGAAACCAGAGATCGTGCATATAGGAAAAACGCTTTTTTAATATACTCTTATCCCTTTAAATCGTTGCAGAAGACGTATTTGCTAGAAAGTAAGAATAAGTAATACAAAATAATTTAATAGCCTTTCAAATTTTAGGTAAACAGAAAAAGAAATGATACAATTTGACTCTATTATTTTCAGCAAAGTAGGATTAATGATTCATTGGATTCCAAACCTTTTTTCCGATTTCCAAATTAAAGTTAATATTAAATGTCAAATTGAAATAAAAATTTCACATGCTATCATTTTATTTTGGCTTTTTAAAAAGTATCCAGGAAAAGGATCCTGAATAAGTAAAACTTCTGCATCGAATCAGGAATTCCTACACATACATACACACAACACACACTCGTACACTTCCATGCAAACACAAAACAGACACACACACACACACACAGACAGACACAGATAGATACAGTACAATTTCTTTGGTTGTTTTATGCAAGTTTATTAAGAAAAATAGAATCTGAATTTAAAGATCAACAAAAAGTTGAACAAAAATAGAAAAAGATTAAGAAATTTTGGAAATGAGAGTAAAACATAGTTGTTAGAAACAAACATCAGGGTTGAAAGTGACAAAGAGCACTTAGCCCGGATTATTTGATATGAAAAGAGAGTTTTTGAAAATTCGAAAGTTAATATTGACTTTCTAGATTAAAATATCAAAAAATACATGAATACATAGCAACGTTTCATCTAAGTAACAAATAGGCCTAATTATATGACCCTAGAATCTAGAGCAAAAGGACTGCGGATCGCAAATATTCTCCTATCATATATATACATATATATATGCATATACTATAAGAAGACCTACATAATTCATCGTGGTACCGGTGTTGTACTGGTAACACATTGCTCATCACGGAGCGTTCCGCTATTTTCCTCACTGTCCAGATCGATTATATGCAATTCGCTACCGGTTTCCGGCCGACAGTTTGTCGATTTCCAATGCGTCCGTAGGCCTGATGGAGAGATATACTTCTTTCCTGCAAATATGACACTTAGTTTAAAATTGAAACAGGTAATTAAGTCTCCTTGGAACATTCCCGTTTCCATGCAACTAATGTAGAATCATCAAGAGAATTTGACACTGGTAGGCATCAGATGATGCAGAGATGCAAATCACAGGTAAAATTAAGAAAAATAATGAGGTATTTAAATTTAAAGATTAATTCAAATTAAGTAAATGAAATACTGAAAACAAAACTAGCAAAATACCACAACATGAACAATTGTATGGCCTTTCATTGGTATGTAAGCGTTTATGAAGTTTCAGATGAACAAATTGGGTAAATTTGGCGCTACATAAATCGCATGGATAAGGCTTCTGGCCATTGTGAAGACGTAAATGAGTCTTCAAATTTGACATACTGCTAAAGCGTTTCTGACAAACTTCACATTGATGCGGCTTTTCTCCTTAACAGTACATTTAACCAAAATAATTACTAAATGGAATTGATATAAGTAAGAGAAATATTTGCATATGAGAACAAAGAGAATAGACTCAAATTTGCTTGCAAGAAAAGAAATGCTAAAATAAATCGAAAGATTAAATACAAATGGTCTAAACCAGTTATAACGTTAACTACAGTTGAGTTAAAGGATACCATATGATCATTGATGTCATTCGTCTTTTTTTTTTTCTTTTTGTATTAAACACTTATTTGGTATTAGCACCAGAAAAACATTATCACTTGTGTAACTTTATTTCATAAAAAACTTACCGGTATGAACAAGGTGATGTTTCTGTAAATGAGCCAATTGAGTAAATTCTTTGAAACAAATGCTACACTTGAATGGTCGTTCACCAGTATGTGTTCGCAAATGTACCTTCAAATTTGATAGTTGCCCAAATGTTTTGCTACATTCCTTGCATTCATAGCGGGTTTTCCCGTTAACTTGAGACTGAAATTTCATACTAAATTTTTGGTTTCAATTACAAATTTCCGACTTAAGAAAAAAACTTGAAAAAAAAAAATTTCATGAAACTAAAATACATTAAACAAATATGAACTTTTTGTACTGAATATGAAACTAAAATAAAGCTCGGTTTTCTATTATTAAGGTGAAAATTCTCCAGGAGGACCTTTAATTCGTATTTGATGAATTTTAAGAATTTAAATTCAGGTTCCAAACTCTTAAGTTTTTCAATTTGATGTTTTGCGGAATTATTCAATAAATATGAACTTTTTGTACTGGATATGATTGTCTGTTGCGTAAATACGGCGAATTACTGGACGCAGCCTGGAAAGCGGTTGGCGAAGTTGCAAGAGGCGGCGGTGGAATGCTCAAAGGGAGAAGAGGTTGTGGTTGGGCAGCAAAAAATGATGCTTTTGTAGGAGTGGTTGAAGGATAAAGCGTCCCGGCAAGTGTAGTACCAAACGGTGGACTTGCTGTTGCTGCAAACGCAGGTGCAGGTGAGCAAGCAGGTGGTCGTCCAGGCGAACATGGTCGCGCAATGTGTGGCGTTGCAGCAACACCATGATTTGGTTGTGGTGGTACCCAAATTCCTCCTGAGGTAACACCTAAAGCCGAACTACGCCGCCAGAATTCATGTAATAGTGTATTGTACGGATTGATAGCATTAGGTTGCAGTGGTGGTAATCCGGTTGCCACCTGTGGTACTGTACTTTGCGGGATTTTTGTTGCAACCGGACGATGTACAGGATTTTGGATTACGTTAGGTCGCGTAATCCTTTGCTGTCTTTCATTAGCAGCAAGCGGTGATGTAGGTGATGACCTGAATTGTAAATTTCTATATCAAATTAAATGTAGTAAATTTCTATATCATCCAGCAATTTTTCTCAAAAAAAGAGGATTAAAGTTTCAAGACAAAAACAAAATTATTGTGAGAAATTTATTTCACGGTGCTGGAAGAAATGCACAAATCATACTTTCCGTGGATGTTCGACAGACAATTCACTCCGAGAAATTCACTGCCATATTCTAAATCCATACTTCTTCATCCCTCTCATTCCCTAAATTTTATTCTCAATCTTTGAAATTACATGAACTTATGCATACAACGTTG